CCACCACACTCCACTACATTGACTCTGAATGCTATCAGTTATGACATAATAATATTTCCTCGTCCAACTTACAGACAAATAGAAAAGAACAGACAAGTATAATTTGCGAGCAAGTCTTGCCGTTTCTGCATAAATAGTTAATGAGGTATTTCACTCAAAGTCTTTCTTGTAATTACGTGGAAAGCCTCTGTCCCGGTTTAAAGTGCTTATTCCCACTATTTCTTGGCGAAACGCATTGTGAATAATGTCGAGCTGTTTCGCAAATCTCGTTGGGAGTTACTAAGGTAATTAACTTAATGGATACTTCAGTTTAAACAAGGAAGCACGTAGGTGACGCTGTGTTATATAGAAATAACGGTGTTGTGGTTCCTCCATGTTTTGCTTATATTAAACTTATAAGCAAAACATGGAGGAACTCGATGATATCATAATTTCAGAACAATTAGTCTTAACTCTTAGGTTGTTTAAGTTCTGCGTTAAATCTGAGGTAAGGTATGCAATTAATTTGTATTTTCAGCTGACTCATTTGCATACAATTTACCTTATTTTAAACTAAATATAATACCATGGCAGTGTCAGTCGTCGTGTCATACTTGTTAGTTACTGGACTGTAGTTATAATGGATACTTAAAGGAATAGTTACGTACCGTTATATGAGAGTCTTGGCCTGGTAAGACACATGACAAGATGGCACTCTATGTCGTCCGGCAATACAAACTTGCTGCACACCGGACATTTTATACCTGGAACACAAAAACAGGACACTGTTAATGTAAGATCAAAATGAAAAAAATATGATTAACACAATTATTATTCCTAATTAATATTAAGAGCTTTCTTCTCCGTAGAATTGTGAAATGTCCCGAGCTTCGGTTAGTGGGTTCGTATTTTCACAATGCAATAAGGACAGGTTTCCAGCTTATAGAGTAACTAAACCAATCCATCAAGTTGTTAGAACGTGTTCGCATAAAATATTGCTAAACAAACAGGTTCCACTGAATTATAAACAAACTGTTAGTGTCGATACATAAATAAGTAATCAGGTGAGCTTTATCCGAGTTTAATTTTAGCGCCCGTCAGATGGAGTGATAAAAAATTCTGTGTGTCGTCACATCGTCAAGTAAGCCGGTAAGAGAGTAAGAGTGAACCAATTTAACGCTTTAACGTGTCTACTTATGTACACAGACTATACACGTTACATGTGGGTAGGTGTAAGTATACATCCACCCACTGTGTGCTTTCCATAAATATTTTTTCGCTAACGAAGTGAAGCTGAAGAAAGGTAGATATAATAAACATGGCAAACAATGAAACATTTTCCCAACTGTACCTACTGTTTACTGTATTGTTGGTTGCTTGACAACTGGTTATTTTGGAACTACTAACTTCAAGATACCAGGGACATATTCGCTAAATGTTTCCTTGTTGAAGAAGCTTATTTCTTTAATATGGCACCTTGCCAGCTTGCCTAATTGCTTTAATTTCTTGTACAACACGAAAAATAATCATAAAACCATAATTGTATGTACAAATAAGGTTGCCCTGGGAACTGTTTTACAATACGCAGTATTTGTTTCACGATATTGGACGCTACATATCCGTACCTACTAATTAAATACAACAATATCGATCCTCAATTACCCGTATGAACTCCGGTATAATATGACGGAGGGCGCCAACTATTGTCTATGCAATTAGACGGTCGACAATAATCGTTAGCGGCGAGTACCGAGTTACTGACAATCGATTCTACGTGCGTTAGGCTCAAATCGATACTATTCTGTTGTAGAATGTTACTCACTATGTATAGTAAGTTTTTAAATTGTGAAAAACAGCCGAGTCATCATTCAATTAGTCAATTCATAATGAATACTATCTGTAGTTAAATAATTGTCAGTTGCTATTGGCTTGTTTATATCTACACTCAGTTATAGCTTTCTTTCCTCTGTACCTAATAGCGAAACATCAGTACGGTATTATTGTACATACTTATATAATTTTCTATTTTCCCCATCACTTATAAATGCGCAGAACAGTCAAACGTGGTTTTAATCGCAGTTGTTTCAGAGAACACTTCGTGTCATTCTGTTAGGTTCAAAGTCTATAAAACTTAACACAGAAACCAGTACAACTAGCTGCATAATAATTAAAGGACAATTAATAGAATTACATAATATATGCGTATCTATATCATGTAATTATGTACGTGTGAAATCATCAACGAGAGGGAACGTGTCGCGGCCATGTTGTAAAATTCCGTTTGAGAGGCACTCTATTATCGCGTCGCCTCTTCAAATCAATTGTCACGTCTGAGCCACAAACTGCCTAATACACAAATCAACGGATAAATAAATGCCCAGTACGGATTTCAAAACAGAATAAATGTAAAACGTGATAACATGTTTGCAAATTAAATTATTGTCCAACTGATTTGACACAGTTTACATAATATGAAGTGCCAACAATATTAAATTAATTTGAGCGTGCAGGCATCCGCGTGGTGCATGCAAACGCTGCGGTTCCTAAACACCAATATACATTATAACAAGTCGTACTACGCGCTAGTGTACCTCATACTTGATATTTAGTAATACCAAAGAAGATGATGAGAATGATTGAAATCGAGAAAAGGTTGCAAGCTTTTCCATTAGTGTGCATTTCATGAAAACCGACTTAATTATTAACTGAAATATAAACAAACTCAAGTTTAATTAATTAAACAGGACTCCGAAACTTGTTCGTTAAACTTTTTAACCGAATTCACTGGTCAAATTAATTGAGGAAAAGAGCAATCGAAGGAGTTACTTCTAAAGAAATCTTGGGCCTTTGAGAAACTTAGGAGAATTATATTAGAGACTGGTAACTGTAGTAAGTAAACAAAGAATGGCCTGACAATACAATAACAACAGACGTTGGCATTCTGTGTCTCACACATGGTGTTCACAACAAAAACACGGACACGGTTGCCGGTCCGTGCGTTACGGAGTCGGATCACGCACGGCCGGCCGCTCCCCCGGCATAGCTATGTGCTTGATGTTACGATTACCATGGAAGATATCTCGCACCCGCGTTTATTATTACTAAATTGACATTCTTTCATTGGATAAACTATCATTGAGTGAGTGATTAATTAATTAAAGAAATGTTTTTAATGATGATTATATTATATCAAGTTATCAACTGTAATAAATTAGGGGGAACTTAGCAATTATACTTCGACATTTACTACGAATCCAATTAACCAGTCGACGGTTCACCTAAAGGCTAAAGTCCTAAATCACTTATTGCTACGGGTGTTTGCTTCTCAGGATAATTGAAACCTTTTGTGAGTGAACTAAATGTATTGTGTCGTATATTGAATACATTGACTTGGTACTGTACCGTACAATGTAGCACGGTTCAATGTAACCACAACATATGGATGTAACTGCCTTGCAATTGTAATTAATTTTACAACGAATGAAAATATTGTTCATCATTATTTAAATCGAACATACTGACTAGCAAAACGTTCTGTGAGCAAAACAACAACATATACAAATATAGCCTGAACTAACTAAACTAAGTAGGTTAGTAACTATTTGAGGAATTTAATCGGAAAATGTGTGAAATAATAAACAACCAAAAGTTTGTATTTTCCTGGTAGAAACACGGCAACACGGCAGGCACTCCGGCTGAACCCGTAATCCTATTTGCGAATAAAAACAAACTAAGTGACCCGTACACGACAGACGTCAGGCGAGCCACCAGTGCCACCACACACGAGGGGTGCAGGAGGCTCACCACCAACACGAAGCAAGTATTTCACGCGGCAAGTAATTACTAAACTTTTGTAATACTGCACAACAGATTTATTGCTTTATATCGGTTCGTGGCTGTTGCCGGATAATCCTCAGTTGAGTAAAAGTATCTATTCGATTATGGATATGCTGAACAGTTTCATTAAATTTTTTCAAGTACGCAATATGCATTTGACGAGTAACTTGTCCACTCTATAATACATAGTTCGTAGTATTTCCAAAATCTTGTAAATAAATTTCAAAGCTAAGCTTCTGTGAGTGTAATCGTGTGGTGTGTAGAACTTAGCTTATCCGTAGTCCACACACGTGCGGCCGAGAGTGACGGCCGCCGGCTCATTGTGCCGGTTACGGCTTACGGCCCGTACGGCCGGTAGCCGGACTAACGACCGGCTACCGGCGCACCCTCCTCTTCAATTGATCATTGTTCTACGTGTTTTATTATCAACCCTATTTGTGTTAACGTGCTCGCTACTTTTGTTTCACAATTGTTTGACGCGAAGTCTTCGACAATATCTTCGTGGAGCAACAAGATCTAATGAATGCCTAATTAGATTGAAAAAAATACTAAAGGAAACAAAGAGGTGGTTCCTCTTTAAGTCTTTACTTTCATCCTATTTCAGGTAAGGTAAATGTGCTGAAACAGAATACTCGGTTGTCTAGCTCGACTAGATCGCTAAATCTACATACAAGAATAACGTCAAAGGCTATGTAGTGCCTCGATGCATGTTAAACGATTCTTTGAAGGGTGTTGTGGCCGCCTGTTGTATTTCAAGAGTAACTTATGTATTCTGTTTAGTATCAATTCATAACAAAGGCTATTTATCTAACCGAGATGATGTAAGTTAGAAAGATCTTTATGATCTAAAATCTTTACCATCGTGGTAAAGTTCATCCGACACGAGCGTTTACAATTGAAGTTAAATAAATAATTTAGTAAAATCCCAACAACTGAGCAAGACGTCAATGTTACAGACACGAGAACAGAACGTTGTACCGTCGTCAGTCATCACCTCCGAAACACTAAACACCTGGAGCCTCGATAACTAAAACAAATAACTTCACGGCACATAAATTGCTTTCGCAATGTTTGCGTAACGACCACTGAAATATATTACACGCAGAGCATCAGTACACCACCTCGAACAAACGTCTACAAATAGTGTGTAACTTCAACACAAACTTCACACGTCTGCGTTCAGAATGGATATTGGAGAACACAATGACAGGATCAGGTATGGGTTTGTTAATAATTAATATTTTCTTATCTATTTACATATTATAGTTTAACTATAAAACGATCGATTAGGCCTACGATTGTGCGTTTATTTCTTACATAAATCACTTCATTAAATCACAACTACAATCGATAAAAACACAACCAGCCTATATATCTGTTGTACCTCGAGTCCAGGCGTTGAGCTATATGAAATTAATTACGTTTTGAGCGGTGAAAAGCAAACATATCAACGGAACATCCTGTTTAGTCAGCGGTACTCGGAAATTTGGCCTTGTATACATTTGTATTGACCTCCGTAATATTGATGAGGAATTATGGACACACAACTATTTTATAAGCTGTCGTCTACATAATCTGCCTAGGTATCCAGTGCTCGTGATACTGGCGGTGCTGGTGACTTCGCTGCCGCCCAGCACGTCCTACATAGACTGCAGGATCTCTTGTCGCCGCTGCCACGAGAACACAGAGCACCCCTCCGTGCTGGAGGTGTACTGCGCCATGTGCGAGGAGTGCAAACAAAGACGAAGAGAAAGGTATTTACTTAGGTACAGTTATTACATAAACCAGCTAATTATTATGGTTATAGCATAGATCATAGTCACAGTCTTGACTATGCGCGCGCTCACAACTTCGACTTGCATGTCATCAGGGTGAGTAATATTGAATTGTAATTGCCAAAGTTCCTTTTGACTACACAAAAATATACAGTCATTAATTTTGAAGGATGAAAGGACGTACTACATCTGCACGGACTACTTTGATTAGAATGCGGGATGGAGTCAGAGGGAGTGCCGAAGCGTTGGCCAAATCACTCTTGCTGGGACAACAAGCAGCGGCGCACCCACCTGAACGTCCCGGACCATCTGGACAGCCTGGACCGCTGGGATCACCTAGTCAATATTTACAGCCCGGACAGCTAGGGCATCACGTGCAACCAAGAGCGCCAGGACATCCAGGGCAGGGACTACTGCCAATGTTCATGCAGCAGCACCTGCAGTCGCACCCGCAGCTGCCCCAGCATGAACCGGGGGCGGTGTCGCGTCCCGCCCAACGTGTCTACGGGAATGAGATGGGTAAGACTGATGATTACCTTTTACAAGTTTGGAAAGTGTTAGGAAAGGATTTTATTGAATAAACTTTCCCTGATAAAGCGCTGTTATTGTTTATTAACAAATTATTTCCTTGTTCCCATATCGGATGATTAGAAAGACCCATGCCACAACCCTCGTTCCCAACCGGCTGTCCGACGCCGCCGGTCTGCCCCGAGTCGGAGGAGGAGCCAGAAATCATGGTGGAAGTGTCTACTACTACCACAAGCACGACAACCCAGGCAACCACCACGCCGCATTGCCCGCCCATCAAATGGTGTAGGAAGAAGAGAAAGCATCAGCCGAGCTGCATGCCGTGCATGCCCATGTGTCCGTGCCCCGTGCCGCAGCAGATGCCTGTGACGACGGCGCCCACGCACCTGGACTACCAATACTTGTACATTGGGCTACCAAAGAGTATATTGCGATCCAGCTAGTAGCTAGTTGTATTACACGTGTACAGTGCGTATTGTGAGAACACTAACAGTAGTGGAACAGTTTGTTATTTTATTTTAGTAGGTACGTTATCATTTTGTAATAAATGAAATTTGTTTTGTATTCATTTTATGACTTGCCTGGTAATCGGAGGTCATTTCAGACGTAAATGAAAGTTCTTTAATGCCTCTTGCAAAAAGGGTAAGTACTGAAAATATTGCACATAAGATATTTATTGGTATTGGTCAAATTTTGTGGTAACATTACTTATCAAATAGTGTATTTTATAAGTAAGACAATTTGATAAGTATATAATAAAACTGTTTAATAATGACTTGTGGTTATAACCAAAATTAATAATCAAATTGACAAAATTACACGCATAGGTGCAAGCAGGCAGCTTTAATTCAAATAAATAACAAGCGTCCAAAATAGAAAAGTGAATGTATTTATCGAGAAGTTAGTAACTATAATGCTTTATTCGCAGACCTAGTAATATCGTAGGTGACGTAGTATTACGCATGAAGCACTACGACGTGTCGGCCTCAAATCCCTGACCCTCAGATAACCTGTACAGTAAATCAAATGTTAATAAATTGATTTCGTTCACAAGTTCACTGAGTACATTAAGTAGTTAACAGAGGCATGTTATTATAAGTTTTAATTTTTTTAAAGCCGCTAAATGAGCGGACGGATCACCTGATGGTAAGCAATCGCCGCCCATGGACACAGGAATTACCAAAGGCGTTACAAGTGCGTTACCGGCCTTTTGGGGATTAGGAATTTGAAAATTGTTGGGGATTTGAGAATTCGGGAGATTGGGGAGCCTTCAGTAACCTCATTCACACGACAAAACACAACGCAGGTGTTGTTTCACGTCGGTTTTCTGTGAGGCCGTAGTATCACTCCAGTCGAGCCGGTCCATACGTGTATATGTCTGAAGCATAGCACTCCCATACTTTAGTTAGGTTTATTAGATAACAAAACTAGGAGAGCATTAAGTACATTAAAATTTAAATGTGACATCTAGTATTCGTAAATTACATTATGTGGCCCATCCTCCCATGTAGAAGGGAACAAATCTACTGCGGTATTCCGGATAGCTGGATACCATTTCTGACTTCAGGCTAATTACTGAGAACACTACTTAGAAAAGTTTATTTACCACTTTTAAACACGAATCCTATATATGCAAAATAAATAACGTTTATATATATATATTCCAGCTTTATAACATAAACAAACTACAACTAGAATTATTGTATAGCGGCGCGGTGCGACAACTGTAAGGAACTGGTTAAGAAACGGGACTGGAGACCGGTGTAAGCAAAGCTATTTGTTTTGTGCCGTATTGAGTAAAATAACTAAAACTTAAAATCATTTTAATCGATATGCAAAATAAATAACGTTTATTTTAGCAGTTAGAAGCAAGAAAATAATCGTATAAACAATTTTTGGCTACAAACATTATTTTTACGACGGTTAAAGTATGATTGTGTTGTTACGTACTTACTTACATAGACTTCTACATGACTACTCGACAGAACACAAGAGAGTGAGTTAGTGTAACTAGAAGAATTTAGAAAACCCTTAGTTGACAATAAATAATAATTTTTATAGTCTTGTCTAAATCTCAGCTCTTAGACTACAGGCTAGAAGTCTGGGCTCTGGTCGATCACTTGTTGAGTCGAGGACATCGATCGGTGTGACGTTATGTGTGTGTGATAGAGATCGGCACAAGTTGGGAGTAGTCGGCTACCATATATAGGTCATCATGACGCAGCTAGGGTAGGTGAGGACTAGGATAGTTTGACGTACCTACTACTGCATCAACTAAGTTTTTCCAACTCAACTAGATTTTCAGGCAGGAATGAGTTAGATGCTGGGTAAATACAAGCAAAAAATGTACAGGATATTTAGTTATTCGGTCTAATTACCTGGGTAACAGTAAGTAAAGGTCAATATAAATATACCACGAGTAAAGAAGACGAATATAAGAACCTCAACTAAAGACAACTCTGTGCCACACAAACCCAATGACCTCACACACAGCACACAATACCATGAAGCATAAACTAAAACTTTAAAGGCAAACAATAGTAGACAATAAAAATTAATGTTATTGCAACGATTCGTGATTGAGGCTCGTAAACTCTAGTATAACCTCAGAGCACAACACAAATCTTTGATACAGTAACTTGTTAGACAGAAACACTTTCAGAATGAAAACTAGATTGTGTTAAACTACATCTATATGTAGTTATTGTGTAACAGTTTGTGCTGGAGACATACAATGTATATGCTATATGTTATACTTCCTATGTGCAGCTGTTCCGGTTTAAATAGTTTGGGTGGACGTAGGTACTTCAAAATTTAAACTTTATACCAAACTTATAGAGTTGAAAATCTATTAATAGACAGGAGTCTAATCTCTGAATATGATGAACACGCAAACTGTTCAATTTCTCCTTAAAAATGTCAACCACACTCACTTATTTTAGAGGATCTCAAAATGTCCAAAAATCTCTAGTAGGTACGTGCAATAACAGTCAGATGATGATAAGAAAAAATAATATATGACGAATTAATAAAATTTAATTAAAATCAAGTAATCAAAAAAAAGTATTAAAGTTGAACAAACAGTAACAAAAAGGATATTAATATTATTAATCCAATTTGACCTCACTGAGTAAAATTGATATATTCCTATGTTTACACAAACGACCTACTTAGTACAGGCACTGACAAAAATGTATTACCAAATAACGATCGAATTTTTATGGCAACAATCAAAAAACTAAACATAAGAAACAAAATAAAGTCTATGAAACAGCTATAGGTTTCAACCAAAACTTTCTGAGTTAAGGCTTGGAAATTCTTCACAGCCATAACTTTTTAAAAGTGAAATCGTTACAGACTACCACAGCCAGTCTCGGCAACCATTACCCAAAATATTTTGGGAGACAGTCTGTTTATTAATTTGTTACTTAGAAACAAGTTACCAGCCACAGTTCTTTAAACTTTTAATTGTGTACGCCAGTACTTTTGTTACTCATTGTACGTGGTAGACAAAACTTTTTATTGGGTTCTCTATGATTGTTTTATTTGGATCGATATTGTGTACCCACCGAGTGGAGTTACCGGTTATCTGGCGGACTGATCAAACAACATACTAAGTAATAGGAATAAGAGTAATAATCATTGTTTTTGAGTCTGTGGTGTCGATGATTCACCGATTTATTAATTCACCTATAGTATTATTATATCCCTCGTACATCAAATTGGCAGTACAAAAACTTTTGTTCATGGTAACACTAGCTATCATTTGTCGTGGTAAAACTTCAGTACTTCTATTATTATTTTGTACCAACGAAATAAAAATTCCGGCCAACAAAAGGAAAGCCAATGATTGATGACAATGATTTCTAATTTCATCACAGACATAATAAAAGTAATTCATTAAAGTTCATTGCTCAACACATGTGTCCTTGCGAAGCTCTAATATGAAGTGTCGTGCATGTATAAAGGCACGTAGTATTTATATAATATACTAGTAACATAAATAACAATATAAAAGTATAATGAACGTTTGAAATCATAATAAAGATCTCTGTAAGTCGCCTTAGTGCCGAGCGCGAAGCCTAATTAATTTTAATTAAAGGGATTTACTGTGAAGCCTAATTTACCTGTAAACACTAAAGTAAAGATAGGTATTAAAGAACCTGCTTATGCTACAATATGGATAGGTATAAAGTTTGTAGCTGTTTTATACATAAGTATAGATTATATTATCACTGCTGTGGGATGCATACCGTACAGAATCCTCCTGGGCGGGCGTCGTATCTGAGCCCCGTACGCAGAGTCCTGCTCAGCATCAGGCACACAGGTTCCTATTATAATACCCATCGCCAGCATGCCACTAGTCCGCACACTCATCAGAAACTTCACTATCACCTCACACTACACATTACACGTGAGGACAAATGTCACGGCACACATATTTCTAAAAGTCATCAGTTTATCACAACACAATTACGATAAAGTTTTTTTTATAAAATGCTACAGTAAGCGCGTGCGTCTGTTGTCAGAGTCGGAATGTGACTGGCTGTGGCTGGCTGTGGTTGCTACCGGTGCGATAGGTCGCGAGGTCCTCGTCACATTTGGCACGCAACTCGTGACGTCATCAACGACCAGCGCGCGTCACTTGCCCAGGACTACTTGGTCAACCCTGCCTTGAGCGTGCAAATAAGGCGGTATTAATAGAGCAATATAAACGCGGAAAATGGCCTGACGTTGATGTCGCACGTTTTTTGTGCTAACAAAGGGTTCATATATTACAAGTTGACATTACTATTCCTGGTAGTACTTTACTTGCAGCTTTACAACGTCACGATGTGTATAGTCTAGTGAGTAACGCCCCTACGCTACCCTGCCTACGACAACATGATATGTCAGTCACGTGCACGTGGGCAAGTCCTGACGAGCGACTTAATGAAATGAAAGTGTCCCTGACTTAACTAATAAGATTCATAAGCGAATAAGGCAGGCTCAGACGAAAATAGAAACGGATTTCAGTAATTTGATTTGTGACGTAGGGACTTGTGGAAACGGTGATCGAAATAAAAAACTTAATTATTTATAGGTAAGTGTTCTGACGACACAGTATTGGTGGGTTTCCTGATAGGCAAGGTGACGATACCTAAACAGTATTATTTTCTTTTACAAGTGGTTACAGCTATTGATGACACAGGAAAATCTGAATCATGCAAAAATGTAGAGAAAAAATCTTTACCAAGTGTTACTACGCGTGGCCCGGTATTGTAATATTGTCTAACATTCCCAGCCGCTTCACAAAAACCTGTGCAAATAACATGGCCATTGAAGTAATGACATAAAACCGAATCGAATCATTTGTCTACTTTTTTTCGACCTCCAAATGGTTGCATAATATTTCGTAGTTACCTATTCTTTGACGGTATGTGTACAAAGCAGCTGAGTCAAT